TCTCTCTTAGTGTATCCACAATCACTACATGCACATAAATGTCAGGCAGATGTGCAGACATCATACCCATATACACAAAGTAAATACATTTTTAAAAATCACATACTAGGAGGAATACAGAAGAAATTATATCTGGAGGGATGGAAACAGCATGAATCTGGAAAATTAGAGTGGACCACAAATTTAAGAGCTTTGAATGGCTTGCACAGAGTTGGGCAAGAAGACATATAAAAATACATATTTGTACTAGAAAGAGCATTTTGACAACAATGATAGACCAGAGGTAGATATACCTGTGATGTAGACCAATTTGTAGTCCATTGCAATTACCAGACAGTTGCAAGTTTCCATGGATACAACTAGGCATATGGGACTATTTTTTCAGCAAAGCATGAAAATCAGGTAATCTTTTTCTGCTTTTAAAGTAAGCCTCCAAATTAGGACTCTTGGTCACATTTCCAAAACATAAATAAACTGCTGCTCCAAAAGTTATTTGGAATCCTACAGATAACACTTCATGGAAAAAAATAGATCATAAAATGTAGGCCATTAAAAATTCACAGCCAAGTTCTGTAAAAAGACACTCATTTTAGTTATTTTAAGGGACATTGAAATTGTCTTGTCTATACACCTTCGATACAAAAAATTTGAAGTGTCACTCATAGTGCCATCATAAAAGTTTTAGATGATGTCAGAGACATCATGAGAGGTAAAGCTATTGAAGAAAAGTTTTTGTTTTGTTTTGTTTGTTTTAATGAAACAAGTAGCAATGCAGTTTATTCTGTTCCTATTCAATGCAATGGGAGAGACACACAGACACACGAGCGGCTGCCTGGCTCTGAAGGCTAGCATTGTGACGGGTCAACAATATTCTTGACTTAAATTGTTAATGATTTTATGTGTTAGCTTTTTGGCTTATTACTTTATTCATATTGGTCAATGGATGCTTGAAGTGGTTTCTTTAGCCATAAATGAATACACAAAAAAGCAATGAAACACAAGGATTCAAATATTTTAATTATTTTCTTGGTTTTATTTAAGTCACAGGTTGAATGCTAGTTTTGATGCAAGGAGATGTAAACTGGTTATACTTTTATGCTTAATTGTAAAGAAATTATTGGTACTTTTAGATAAGTAGATACTAAAGAATAGAGAATTATACTAAAACAAACGTAGTAAAACTGTAGTGCCTTGAGAGTTAAAGGTATATCAATGTGGGAAAATAGATAAGTTATTGAGAAACATTACTCAAATTTTATGAAAGAAATGACTGGTGTTTTATTATTTTCTCTCCATATAAAGATATCATTGGATTATATTAGGAGAGAAACAAACATTATAAGTATCTTTCAATTATGGGAAGAAAAGCCAGCTTGGATATGTTCATATGACTAAGTAGTGTCACCTGTGTATATAATACTCAGACAAGCTTAAGGAAATATTGATTGTCCCTAATAACTGACATTTTTTGATAGAAGGAGTGTACAGCAGTTGAGGGTATATATGTTGTTCTTCATGGATGCATATCCACCAGAAGCTCTCAAACCATTTCAAGTATTAAATGTAATCCTGCCACTCTCTAAATCACATTTTTCACTGAGAGAATCTCTAGATCCCAAAAGATTAAACTACATAATTAAGTGTCAGTTATATGAAATCCATCGCTTACCATGGTTCATTTGAAATGAATATTTGAATATATTGTTGGAAGACTTTCCATGTAATAGGAATAAGCTGGCCAATAAAAGGTCAGTGATAATGACAGACTAACTCTTTGAAGTATGGAAAGAAGTGTACGTGTGTAAGTGTAAGTGTGAGTTATAGTGTAAGGTGAAGATAGTCAGGGCTTATAATTTTCTTCATTATTATCAGTCTTTACATAAATATCTTTCTTTTGCAATAAATAAATAAACTGCCTTTCTTTAAAGTCAGTCCATTTCCATCTAACTGGGTTCTACAATAAGGGAAATAAATCTTCTGTCAAATATCTCTTTCAGATGGGAATGAGATTGGTGGACGTGGGAATAATAAGATGTTGATGATGTAATGAACGTACCCACCTCCAACCTCTAGTTTTGGTACTATCTATAAAATTCATATAATTTTGAAGAAAAGCATAGATATATTGACCTTGGGAGTCATGAACCATGAGGGTAGTAACAGAGTTAATTCAGATAAATCTCCCTGTAATATCTTACCTTTGAACGTCATAACAGATGGTTATGCTGATACTATGAGTATACTTTTAAAATGAGAGCAACAATAAATGACAAATGACATTGTCTTCTTTAAGAATCTAGTACTGCCAAAAAGAAAAAAAAAACAGCAATAACAAAACAGAAAACCATTCAGTGAAATTCAGCTCATCTCCATTTCTAGCAAATTACAGGAAGAAGGACAGGGAAAGTAAAGGAACAAACTAAATGAGAACACTGGAACAGCCCTAGCCATATTCAATGTGAGAAATCATCTTGTACATGACTCCCTTTAGAGTTCAGACAGTAAAAAATGAAGATAAACAAGGCAGAGATATTTAAGGTTATAAGTACAAACTATAGATTTATCTTTATGGACACTAGTTACATCAGACTGTGAGCAAAGGTATATGAAAACCCTTGGGAAATACTGAACAGAGACTAATTTCAGAAGGTATTCACATACTCATTTTTCTTAGTCCATTAATTTACTCATTTTTCTCAGTCCAATAATTATATTTTGCTTATATTAAACTTATGTTTTAGAAAAGCACACTGAACTGTTTGGAGAATAAAATGATATGATTTAAATTATTCTAGCAAGAAAACATTTAAATAAGTGGCAAGGGGTGGAGAGATGAAACAAGGATGTGAAAATGGGGACTGATTAGTCCATTCTCTCTGCTTTCAGCATGTTTGAAAATTTCCATAATAAAAGGTTCTTTTAAAGCACACTTCCCTGGTTTCTACAAGCACTCTAAGCTGAATTCACTCTGTGGATTCATAAAAGCTAGGGTGATTAAAAGGGAGGAAGAGGGCTTAAGTAGTTGGGAACACATGATATGACAGGAGGGAGCGTCACTGGAGATGAAATTGTTTAAGCACAGATGGCGTGGGAGTTTAGGGCAGAGGGTGAGGAATGGTGAAGAAGTAACTAAAACTAAGATTCTATGACCTATTCTTAAGAAAACCAACTACTTCATATCTTTATTTTAAAAGAAGAAATTTTAAAAAGAGTTAAAACAGATGTACCCCTAATGGGTAGATAACTTCCCTCCCAGAAGGCATAGCTTATCAAGTAGAAATTCTAGTGCTACAGGCCTCCAAAACAATACAGAGTATTATTGGTGCTTGGTTTCCCAGCAGTGACAATGGTTAAGACTATATTAATGAATACAGCATTTGTATACTCTTCTCACTAGACACAAATCAATCTTACTGTCGTATCAGAATACCGTGATAAATAGAAAATAAAAGATGGATGTGTAAATTAAAATATAATTTATCAGTTAAGCCATATTCTTTATGGGTATAGTTCAGAAATCAGTATTCTCTAAACCCCCAGAGTGATAACATTTTCAATCATGGTTGAGACACTAAAGTTATAATAATGTACTTAATTCTAGGACTCTGTTTCTATGTACAAGGCCTAACCAAAATACAGCAAAAATATTAGCCTGTGTAAGTCATCGAACTGCCTCTGCCTGTATTTTGACTACTTTAAAAAAATAGCTGAATCGGAATTTATTGCACCATATTATCCCTAGGACTAGTAAAATCATAACTCTCCACCTACATGATTCTCCTCCTTCATTTTTGCTTCTGTGGTAAGGATGATCTAAGTATAGACAACTTTCTCTAGAAAAACTAAGCTGCGGTTTTTCCTTGCTCTTGTGCTTTCTTTCTGTTAATAAGCATCAGACACTGGGCCTGTCTTAAACCCGTTTATTCCATCCTAGTCATACCATACTTCCATTCAGATATTTTATTTTCATAAAGAAAAGAACATGATATCTTATCCCCCAGACTGAAGGCAAAAGAGTTTTCTGGGCTAGGAAATGCTATTTAGAATTTCTCAGACATTTGCAAAACATATGATCCGTCTCTCCCATTTTTTACCTGAAACCTATGGAAAGAATAGAATTGTTGTTATTTCCTACAGATTAATTTAGGGTTAATGAGGCTAAGATTTGTTTCAAAACACAATCTGGTAGTGAGACCAAAGAAAGAACAATTTGTTTCCAAATACAATTATTTATATACATTGTTGATGAAGGTAAAAAGGGTGATCAGCACATATATACTAACAAGTATTTACTAACAAGATCCCACATTTTAACCTAACTGTCCCAGAATTTAAGTAGCCTTAATGACATCCTGAACTTAGCATTCTTGGCTATTTATCAACAACAGAAAAAATTTCATACTAGGGAAACATGCAAAATAAAATTAAGGTTTGTGATTTGTAGTGGTTTGAAAAAAAGTCCCCTCCAAAGGGAGTATCACTATTGAGAGGTGTGGCTTTGTTGAAGTACATATGGTCTTGTTGAAGGAAGTGTGTCACTGTGGAGGTGGGCTTTGAGATCTGATATATGTTCAAGTCTCACTCAGTGTGATACACAGTTCACTTCTTCTCATCAAGATGTAGCCAGCCAGCAACATTTCTGTGTGCACACCACCATGATCCCCGCCATGTTGATAATGGGCTGAACCACTGAACTGTAGGATTCCACCTCAATTAAATGTTTTCCTTTAGAAGAGTTGCTGTGGTCATGGTGTCTCTTCACAGCAATCGAAACTATAACTGAGACACCATATTCATTAAGGTATCAGGTTATGGAAGAGCATTTATTTCACAAACTTTGCATGACCCCAATGCTCAAGAAATGTGTAGGTGACTAGAACAGAAGCTTCACAGAAGTTAAAAAGTCTTATAGTCAATAATATTTGCATTAAACATGTAAGTTGTTTATGACTGGGTGATGGATACAAAGATACTCTGCTATGCTGAAGCTATCCCTGCTCTTTTTTTTCATATTAAACTTGTAGTTTTATTCAGGTTTGATTTTTAACAAATGTGTCAGGGAGAGAGAGCCGCAGGAAAGGGTGAAGCCCGTGGAGGCAAGGCCCTCTCAGATGCCTGAGGAGGGATCATGGCTGCTCCCCCCCTCTTCTCACCACCCCTAAAAGGGTTTGGGAAGAGACACAGGCAGGGAATGGGGCTGGTCCCCAGTCTGTACAAGTGGTGCTTGGGGCTGAAAGACTATGGAGAACAGGGGACCAGACCAGGGATAAGTGGGATGAAGGGCACAAGACCATTTGCCAGAATCCACAGCTTTCTGATTCCAAATTGAATTAAAAAGAAAAAGGGGGAGGTGGAGGACCTAAACCACAAGCAATACCCAACTCCCTTTTCCCCACCAGGGCTGTGAAGGAAGAGACAGGTAGCTTCACCAAGGCCATGGCTCCCTCATTCCTGGCCTAGGGAGCTAGGTGAAGGGCAGGGTCTCCCCGACAGTTTGAAGGGGTGAGGAAAACCAAAATAAAACGTCAAATAAATTGTATAGGAGTCCAGCCAAGGGCCCAGCCAGAGTGGAACCCAGCTGGGGGAGGGGCCTCTGTAGGCTCAAGGATCACTGCTGCCACCACCGCCACCCTGGGAGCCAGTTATTTTGCCATGGCCTTGATTGCAACAGCTGCCTCCTCTGTCATGGCAGACAGCACCGTGATCAGGATCTCTTCTCCACAGTCATACTTCTGCTCAATCTCCTTGCCAAGGTCTCCCTCAGGCAGACGAAGGTCCTCTCGTACCTCCCCACTGTCCTGGAGCAGGGATAGGTACCTATCCTGGATGCCAATCAGCTGGAAGTCATTCCTTTTGATGTTGGGGACATCCATATTATGAGTTGACGGGCAGATATCTTCATATTTCTTCCCAGTAAAAATGTCAATACCAACCAGGTGGACCTTGGCATGGCCATGCTTGCCAGTCTTCGAAGTAGACATCTCGACGATCTTACATGGCCGGCCTTTGAGCACCACAAAACCATTCTTACGTAATGCTGAGCATTGCATTGGGAAGGTGGCTGAGGCCCCTGCATCTCCTGTCTCGAAGTCCAAATCATCTGCCATTTTAAGAGGCTTCGATTCCAACTCACGTGGTCGCTCAGCGCTGGTCCTCAACGGCCCAGGAACCCTTGCCCTGGCCGGGCCGACCTGGCCTCCGGCCCTCGCCTGGCAGCCGCTATCCCTACTCTTATTTTTATGTATATTGTACATAGGCAATCAGAATGTATTATGAAACAAAGATAATGAGAAATGATGGTTGATGCTTACAGGTTATTTTGGGAGTAAGGTACATTAAAAACAAATCTAGCGACATTAATTTTAAGTTAAAGTCTCCAGGTAAGAAGTATACATTGTTACTATTTATCATTTGGCAGCTTTAAAATGGGCTTAACCTTTGACCCAAATAGTTCATATCCAATAATTTATTTTAAGTTATCAGATGACATAAGTAATTATTTGTAGGAGTGTTTCAGAGACTATTATTTGTGACAGAGAAAAGCTAGAAATTACTTAAATGTCAAACAATTAAAAAAGAGGAAATACTGGCTATATCTATAGAATGAATCTCGACAATCAATTAATTGGTTTGAAGGAATACTTGGTGACTAAGTAATTATGCCAATGTTACACAAATGTGCCTAAGTCAGTACACGTAAATTTTGACTACGTTTATATAAGTAAATTCTGAAAAATGCTTTTTAAAGGTATTATGTAAATTCTCTTAAATGGCCATATTTTACTACAGTTAGAATATTGGAAAAGTATAATACTTTATGCTTTTTAAAGATCTTTACTAGAAAATAGATGAAAATCACACTTAGGAACCATGAGTCAAAAAGCAATGTGTGTTCATCTTTATAAATGTTGTGGTCTGAATATAAATGCTCACCTACAGAATTCTGACTTCCAGCTGGTGACACTATTTTGGGAAATGATAGATGCTTTAAATGGTATGCATGATTAGAAGAAATGGGCTGCTGGAAGTATGCCTCTGAAGGGTATTGTGATAGCTAATTTTATGTCAAAATGCACAAGCTACAGTAATTACAAAAGGAAAAGCCTTAAACTGAGAAAATGTCCCCACCAGATCAGCCTATAGACAAGTCTTTGGTACATCGTTTCTTCTTGATCAATGATTTATGTAGCAAGATACAAGTCTCTTAAGAGATAAGACCAGCCCTGGGCATGTTTTCCCGTGTTGTGTACCAAAGCAGGCTGTGTAAACCATAGGGATCAAGCCAGTAAACAGCATTCTTCTATGGCCTCTACTTCAGTTCCTTCCTTCCAGTTCTTGCCTTGAGTTCCTATCCTGGCTTTCTTCAATAATGAATTACAATATGGAACTATAAACTGAAACAAACCTTATCATCTCCAAGTTACTTTTGGTAATGACATTTTGTTATACAATAGAAACTTAACTATGACATGTACCTTGTCCCTGGCTTAGGCTCCCTACCCCAACCCAGTCTCTGTCTTGTAACTACAAGGAAGTAAGTAGCCTTTGCCGCAATTTCTCAAAAATAAGATGTTTTGCCTCAACTGAGGATCAAACAATGAAAACATTCAACCACTGACCAAAGCCTCTGAAACTGTGAACTCAAAGCCTCTTTGTCTTCTAGAGTCATTTATCCAGTATTTATTAGCGTTACAATAAAACTAACATAGTAATCACATGTGTATTTATAATCAGTTAATATTTCAGCTTATTCTTTGTTAAAAGAGTGGAATACACCTCAGAGGTCTAAAATTCAGATGTCTTAATCGTCTCCCAGATCCAATAAAAATGTCAGGAAACTAAGATTCAGACATTCACTCATGCAAAGAATCATTGCATGATTTCTTGATGTCATACAGTGGCTTGGACCCTGGGAATCCAGTGGAAGGGGGAATAGATATGGTTAGCTGCTGATTACACAACAAATTCAATTCTTAGTATTCTCTGAGATGTAAGAGAAAAAGAAGGGCCACAATGAAACAGTTAAACAGGTATTTAGTATGCATTATCTCATTGGCCCCATGAAATATCTAAAATTCCCCAAATTCTCCATTCTGCTATTAGAAAAAAAAATAGATGGAGCTTGTAAATAACTTAACCAATCTCATAAAGCTGTAACAGAAAAGCAGTAATAAGTAAGGGTAGTAATAAAAACCTTGTGCTATTAAGAATTTCATTCCATTTTCAAATATGTTTCTTAATAAGACAGATGCAAAAAGGATTCACCAGGTTGTCATTAAACTTTTCTTTTAGCTCATAAACCTTACAATTGTAATTTCTATCTAAATTTACTCCAGTGTCACCACTTTCAACTATTAAAACAATGCATTTTCCTATTATCACCAAGATGAAGGTGTCGTTTGATTTTATTTTTTATGTCCTTTGTAGGGGAAATAATTACCTTGAGGCTTTGGAACAGTCTCATTTTGGTTTTACTTTTTATTTTGCTTTTAAAAGTCAGCTTCTTCAACATGTTATTCGCTTCACAGAAAGCCTTTGAGTCTACTGACAATTGTCACCTCAAACATTAATTCATTCAGTGTTTCTTCACAGTAGACAGTGGCTGCTACCCAGAAAAATCAACGAAGAAAAGAAAAAGTGCCAAACAATTTACAGGAAAGTAAATTCCAGAGCTAGATGACAGACATGCACTAGATAATGCTCTTTTATAAACAGACTGATGGAAATAGAACATTCTAAATTGGATCTCAAGTCTAGACTATCTCAAAAGAAATTAAGGGGAAAGTAAGAAAAAAGTAAGAGCATAATGGTCTAAGTTAAGGGAAGCATCATTTGAAAGCTGTAACTGGTCCCATTGACAATCCTCCTCACTCTCAGTGGGATTCTCAGAAGATGTCTGGATCTTTTGTTTTTCTGTCTTGAGGTTGTTTCTATCATCCTCTGTACACATAAGCAGGAGATGCCAAAGAGCTTGTGGCCTTTCTACATCCCAAAATAGTTAATGATATTCCATACAAAGACACTCTTCTTTATGTAATTTCTGAAAGGTGAATAAATGACTTTTGTTACCTTTACTTTCAATTTGGAATATATTTCCTTTCCTTAAATATGACCTAGACAGAGCAAGTCATTTTATTCACAATTCTCAGTTTGCTCATCTGTACAAGAAGCTATAAATCTACATACATTACCTACAACACAAAGCTTTGATTGTGCAAGGATATAATAACTCTACTAGTCCTATACCATGAAATAATCCTTACGGGTTAAGAATTTTTTATTCCCCCTCTTAATTGCTTTCCTAATCTCCTGGTTTATTATCCTTGACACTTGAGTTATGTTTATTTCTCATTATCTCCATTTTTCAGAACCAATAAAATGTAACTCAATTATCATAAGTCAATGAAACCTAACTCATTCTACAATGAAGTAAGTTTTCTAACATGAACAAGCTATATATGTGATCATTCTTATTACTAGAACAAGAATGACTACTATGTACCAGAAGCTACCACTAGTACCTTTCACATAATAATTGTTTATCTCCATAACAACTAAGCAAGTAATCCAACATTTAACCCAAGTATGCCCTAAGCATACAAATGTTTTGTTCTTGAGGGATAAATAGGAAAAAGAAAAAAAAAAGACCTCCAATTTTCAAAGCAGTATGAGTAACATAGGGTCAAGGTCTGAAGATGAAAGAGAAGGACGTGGTAAGGTAGCTGAATAAAGTACAATGTGCAGAGATCTTGGCCGGGGGTGAGATGGGTAAAGATAATGAAGGTAGAGAAGTTATCAGGAACTAAAGTAGGCAAAGGTTTACATATAAAGCCAAAGTGTTTGAAAGTGATTTCAAACACAATAGCTTGTAATAGCCATCCAACTGGCAATTACTTTGTTCCACTAGCTTATGGCAGTTTCATTTAGACAGTATTCTAATGGAAAAGGACAAGATCAATATTAGCCAGGTGGTGGTGGCGCACGCCTTTAGTCCCAGCAATCAGGAGGCAGAGGTAGGGGGATCTCTGTGAGTTTGAGACAGACTCCAAAGATACACAGAGAAACGCTGTCTTGAAAAACAAAACAAAACAAAATTCCATAACAAATAACAAGAAAACCATTTCAGAGGACCTACTTGCTTTCATCCTCATTTTAAGTCATTCACATTCAGATGCCCAAGGAAAACAATGATATTGATAATGTGGCAATTTTAGAACTTTAAACACACACATATGCATGAATTATTTGTTAATTCAAGAAATGTGGATGATTTAAAGTAAAAGGAAATATTATTTTATTGTTTCCCTCAGTTCCTAATTGGTTATCATTTTAGCTATTTGCTTTATGGTGTTATTGATGACTTTTGCCAATATAAATTAATTATTTTTTGTGCCGGGCGTTGGTGGCGCATGCCTTTAATCCCAGCCCTCGGGAGGCAGAGGCAGGCGGATCTCTGTGAGTTCGAGGCCAGGCTGGACCGACAGCCTCCAAACCAGAGAAGCCCTGTCTTGTAAAACCAAAAAAAAAAATTAATTATTTTTTGTGTCAATGAGATCAAACTTTCTACACATGATTCATTTTAGTTGATTTTTAACAAATAGTACATAATTATTCAAACACATAAATATATAATTGATCCTTTTGAAAAACCAAAAGTTTAAGCACTTTTTCAAGGTTTAGCCCATACGTCATTTAAGACACTCCAATTAATGAACATTTCAGTTGATGCCGATGCTACAGTACCAGACAAAAATATTGTATACATTATGTATGAGTGCTCTCTGCAGGCGCACATATCCTCAAAGTGGAAAGTTACAGAGAATACCGGCATGGTGCTACTGCACAAAGATGGTACTGAATAAGTTCATCTTTGAACCTTTTTCCGTTAGACTTTAGGACATGACTGTAGAAGCAGAATTAGCGGTGTTAAGGGCACACAAATATTAAATAGAGATGTGGGTTCTGATATATTGCCAATTTATCCCAAGTTATAATCTTGTAACTACATAGAATTTACATTTGAGGTGCTAGTAGCTGTCTTACTATAATCTTTAAAAGTCTTTGTTAATCTAATAGATAAGAATTGATGTTGTTCTGCTTTCATTCCCATTGTTGTGGTTGGTAAATATCTATGCCTATATGCCTTTGCATAGGAAAATCAGGTTGTCACACTCTTACTGCCAGCAAAATGCGCCAGATTCTTTCATGATCATGTAAACATGTTTTCAAACCCTTTCATAAGACATTTGTTGTCCAATGATTACAGTTT